GAAATTTTTTTGAATGTTGACAGGCCAAACAAATTTAAGCTCGGTCATGTCTAGTTACTAACCGGTCAAAATAAATTATTACCTGCCAAACAAATTTTAGCTCGGACCGGTCAAAAGACAGTAAAAACTCGTAGGTAAGAACCTGGATTTTCCCATTGCATTAACAGGTACGTTCTTACAAAAATAGTTATTGGCAAAAAATTTGTCTATTTTTCTAAAATGAAAAGGTTCTTATTTTCTGCAGGAAAAAAAAAACATTGCAGCTTATGTCTCCCAAAGAGGTTCACCTGAATATTTTCCAGGTGTATAGAATTTTTATAGATTTGAGAAAATAAAGATGTGTGTCAACTATTGGGCTAAACAGGTTCTTGTATAGAGCCTGGGGCCTAATTATAACTGGCAAGTTTAGCCAAACAGGTTCCTAAAAACCAGGTTCTTAGTCACAGCTAGGTTTTTACTGTATTGAAGACATTGTACTTTGCAGTAATAGCCAAATTAAGACAAAAATTATGTGATCATAAATGCTCAAAAACTCCTTGTGTTGAGAGATGGTGAAATATTATAAACCAGTTTTGAGTGTGGTTATCAAGTTGTTCATTCATTGGAGGGTACAGTGTAGTAAATAATATTTCCAGGAATATTGTCAAGCTCAGCTCGTTTATTCTTAAAACAATTCCCCATAAGAGTTAAACCAGAAATCACAACTTTTGGCTCAGTATTGTTCTGACATGTTTTCTTTGAACAATAGGTGTATGTAGGGGTGAGGGAAAATTCTTGCCAAACTAAAGATTTTATCTTATCCTCTTAGCCATGGAAGAACATGAAAGTCAGGTCCTCCAGGTTGAATGTAGCATGGAATGCTCTCTGCACTGGTGAACAAGAGCAAAGTCACTCAGCAGGTACTGATATAGTTCATGGTAGATGGTATTTATTATAGAATTGCATAATTGAGTAAAATCACGCATTCTGATTGGTTAACGAAGAGAGGTATTCAGTGTGGAATTGCGAGTTGAAAACGAGGCTAAGGGATGTTTTTTCGCATCTACGTAACAACTATCGTCAAATTGTAACACAACAACTGCAAAAAAGGTTTTCTACAATGTCATTTTAAAATGTTTTCAAAATCATTGTCACCTTTTGTATATCCTTTCTTAACATACTGTAATGTTGCCTGGTCCTCCACCTACTGTTCCAGCCTAAACTGTATTTACCTTTTGCAAAAGCGTCTAGTGCGGCTCATAACAAAAGCTCACTATCTAGCAAATACCGCCCCTTTGTTTAGTCGGCTTAAAGTCCTTGACATATTTAGTATTAATTTATTTTCTGTCACTACTTTTATGTATTGTTATCACCATAATCTTTTGCCTAGTAGCTTTCGTGACTTGTTCTTAAGTAGTAATCTGAAGTCCATCAATACCAAAATTCGACTGGCCTCTCAGTATAGACCTCATTTTTGTAGATCAAATATAAAGCAATTCAGTATCCTTTACCGAGGACCTAAAATCTGGAATTCGTTGCCTGTTTCACTAATTAGCTCTCTTTCTATATTTGTTGTTACAAAAAATTTAAAGAATTATCTCACTGATAGCCGATCTGTCGCTTAATTTTCTGATCTTGCTCACTCTGCACTCAGCCATGAATTTAGTTCTCTAGGTAGTTGAAGGAAGCCTATTAATATAAGCTTCAAGCTTCGTTAGACTTCCTTGTCACATTAATTTTATAATTTAATTAACACCTTTTGTTTATGTTGCATAAGGTTTTGTGAGTGACTAAATAAATAAATAGTTAAAAACAAACAAAAGCATTTTTTAAAGTGATCCGGAGGTTCTTCCTTGTTTTGAACTAAACTACAAATTCTTGGAGAGGTATAAAAAACCCCTTTCGCTAGCGACAATGAGAAAACAAGAAAATCCTGTTAACACAGCCCAGAAAATAACAAGCCAAATTCAAACAAACAAAACGGAGAAGCGACAATGGAGGAAGTGCCAGGGTTAATTGTCACATATACAGAAGAAAAAAATAAATACCTTCAAAGATCACATTGTCCCTGAAAACACGAAAAAGAGTACGCCACTTGCATTCATCCTGAGTCGTGGTACTTAGAAAAGTACAAAACAGAGCTGAACTTGAACAGCATTTTTAAAACATTTCAAGGTACTTACCTTATATCAATCGCAACGTTAAACTTTCAGTGCTTTGCCTTGGACACTTCATTTCTTTCAGTTTTGCTACCGAAGAGGTAAAAGGTGTAAATTATTTTCCTTCGCGAGCAAATGACCAATTTGAAAAAGGATTATAGATAACCGGCTTGTAAATTCAGTGAAATACCTCTATTTATCCTTACAATTAGTGTGAAGCTTGTTCATGTGTAAAAATGTTTGAAAACAAATGTAAAAACAAGCACAAGGTACAAAAAAAGTTGTCAAAGGTTCAAACGTGTATGACTGACCTTGCTTCCTATTCGCTAATGCAATGATAGGTTTGACATTTGACTTTGAAATGGCTTTCTGGGGCGCGTGCTCAGGATAAAAACAAACAATATTACTGGTGTTTTCTTTTTTTTTCTGATTTTTATTTGATTATGCGATTCAAGGAAAATCCATTACCTGACTCGTGAATTCCACGTTAAATTGCACTTGAAAACCGATATCGGTTTTCGTGTGCAATTTAACGTGGAATTCCCTCGTCAGGTAATGAATTTTCCTATAAAACTTACTAATATACGTGGAAAAATTTCTTGAATCAGATGGGCTTAGAGCAGTGCAGTTTTTAGTAAACACAGTACAAAAACAAGGAAACATAATGCAAAAATAAGGAAATAAAGTGCGAATTTCTCAGAGAATGAAAACCTGTGGTTGGCTAATAAACAATCAGTGTTCTCCAGAAGCGCGGGCAACTGGCAGTTTCACTGGGAACTCTTTTCCAAAGTGCCAGCTACTCTTATGAGTCAAAACATAAAAAAAAACTGTCTGTAACTTTTATCTTCAATTTTTCGTAAGTTCCATTTTTTTCCGCGAAAGATAAAACGGCACCCAAAGGAAATCGTGTTAATTCATTTCTTAGAATACTAGAACATGCAATTTCATCGGGAAAATAACAAACAAACAAAAAAGCCACGAGAGCTTGTTTGAAAGTTTATCGAAAAACACATGAAAATACATGGAACTAAAGTGCCTTGAACAGCTACAAAAGAAGACAGGTTTTGTTTATTCATGGTTGCGAAGCCACTCGCTGAGGCACTTGCCGATAGATAGCTGCGGCTTGTTTATCTGACATGAAGAATATAAATCACAAGCAACTAGAATACAGGCTATGCAGCCATTCACTACAGCAATCGAGGCGTCAGTAAAGCTTCTTTTCTTGTTCAGCAAAACCAGCTTGTGGCTTCAAACAACGTCATAACAAGCGACCAAGGTAATAGTTTTTCTCCGTTGTTCTTACTTTTGTAACTGCTCCAAAAGTCCAAATTCACAGTAATTTTGATGGCTGTTAAGAATTATTTTTCTTCACATTATCTGCCAGGTTTTTTTAGCTGTCCCGCTGTGTAAAATCCTAGAATCTCGATGAGTTTTTAAAAGTGTTCATCTTTATAATGTTTTGATTTTTCATTCATCCAGTCCAGGAGAGTCGGTTCATGCGTTGACAGTTCTGATAGACATGTGATAATATAATGTGGTAATATTTTTTAATTATAAAATAACTAAGATAGTACATGCATTCTGATTGGTTAAAAACCAATAGTTTATTGTGCTGGTAATCTCATAGTAAACTGAAACATGCTTTAAAGTTATTTTATTAAAGTAAAAGACCACATTTTCTATGGATTTACCTGCATGATAACTCACTTGGTTCTTGGGAGAACTCTGGAAAAGCTTGTAAATAACGAGCAAAACTTCTCAGATCTCTGGGCTTAATGCCCCCAAACCCCTCCCTTAGATACAGTACTCTCGCTTTATCAGTGCTTGGTGTCAGGCACCAGTTTCTTTGCTTTGGGAGCTGGCTACTCTAAAACTTCTGGATAATGTATCGGTCAAATCGAAGCTTCAACATGCCCCGGGAAACCCCGGGCATTTGACTTTTTGAAAATTATTGTTCAAATTCCCCCCTACCCGGGCCCAAAATGCCGTTCAAATGCCCCACACTAGGGTCCATTCAGGTGATCAAATGCCCCCATCCTGTGGACATTTCACAGGCACAAAAATGACAGAAGGACGGCGGAAACGCCTTCAGTTGTCGAACAAAATCTTTATAAATATAACAAAAACACTGTTAGCGTATTTACTACGAACAAAAAACTCGTGCAAAGCGGCAGAAATCGCTGCTACAAGGTCACTGAATGCTCAGCTTTTCTTCATCATGCAACATCCAAAGGGTTCTATAAAAAAAGATCCCACCTATTGAGATTACTACATCATGACCATTTCACTGACATGCATCATCGCTCACCGTATAAATTAACATACTTGCAGTAGGTCAAAGTGGTTGACCTGAGCTTTTTATTTTATTTTATTCTATTTTATGTTGTAGTATTGAATCGCTGGCATAGGTATTGTATTTCATTGTAAACACAACAATAACATACATTCATACATTCAAAGCCTGAATCCAGTATTAAAAAGTTCAAATTCCCCACCCCTAAAGCAGTGCTCGAACTTAACGGTCGTCCACTCGTCCAAAACGAGTAAAAATTGCCCAAAACGAGTAGGTTTTTTTGCCACTAGTCCTGTGGACGAGTAAAGTTACAGTACCCCGATAAATAATTGCTTTTGTATCTTGCTGAAAGGGGCTAAAAGTGTCAAAGCAGATAAAGAATTTCTGAAAGCGAATGCTTCGAAAACGTCGAGCAAAAATCGCTAGGCGTTTCTGGCCTGGCAGGTAAGAGTCTGGGTTCTACGCTGAGATTAAATGGATTGTGGGATTCAATATGGCGGCTTCCCGCGTTTGCCAAATGATCGATGTTGATTGAATCTCTATTTTCTTTCAAAACACAACTTCTTGAAATGTCCAAACGAAAAAAAGTTCAATGCTCACTGAGTTCTTTCTTCGGAGGAAAGCAAAATCAAGAAAGCAACACAACACCAGCACCGCCTGCTGCAACTCCGATAAAGAAAACACGGAAGTTTCAGGAATCGTGGATAGAAAAGTACAGATGGCTCCACTTTGATGAGAAAGAAAACAAAATGTTTTGCGAGTTTTGCAGGGAATTTCCAAATGGGAAAAACACACATTATTCCTTGAGGGTCGGAACAAATAACTTTCAAACTGACAGCTTAAAGGCTCACGAGGCCAGTGAAGGACACGCTATGAGTTTAGCAGCTAAACGTGCAAGCGAGCGTCCAAGAGAGCAAAGACCTTTGCCTGCTGCATTGAGCAGACTTGATGAAGAAACATTGAAGAAAATGGAGTATCTTTTTAATACAGCATATTATATAGCTTATTTGAAACTTCCATTTTCTATATTCTCACAGTTGTGTTCATTGCAAAAAAAGAATGGCTTAAACCTCGGAAACACGTACATGAATGATCATGCTTGTAAAGAGTTTTGTAAACATATATCTGATACCTTGAGGGCAGATCTCATAGATTCTTTAAGCACTGCTAAGTTTATATCTATAATGGCAGATGGAGCAACAGATGTGTCATGTTTGGAAGAAGAAATAGTGTATGTGAGATTTGTATCAGGTGGGGCTCCAAAAACGTGCTATGTTGAGCTGGCTGAGGTTGAAAGTGCAAAGGCACCAGGAATTCTAAAGGCAATCAAGTCGGTTATGGATAAGATCGACCCTCAGTGGATGCAAAAACTGATCAGCACTGGCACAGACGGTGCATCAGTTATGATGGGCAGGATTGGTGGTGTGGTTTCATTAATTAAACAACAAGCACCTCAAGTTATTCCAATTCATTGTGTAGCACACAATTTAGAACTTGCATTTAGTGACACTTTGAAGTGCAATGAAACAATGATGAGCATCAAGGAACTTTTAAATGGCTGCTGGAAACACTATAAGTATTCCCCAAAGGCTTTAAGAGAACTAAGAGAAATGGCAGAGGCAATGGAAATAAAAGTGGGAAAACCAACAAAGGCCAGTGGAACTCGTTGGGTGCCTCATTTGCTCCGTGCTTTAACTGTTCTACTTCAAAAAAACTTTCAAGCAATTGTTTCTCACTTTGAGCACACGGCAGAAGCTAGAGATTCTTCAGCAGAAATGCAAGGACGGGGTAGGAACTTGTCAAAGAAGCTCAAGGCTTACAAATTCCAGCTTCACCTTCATTTAATGTGGGACATTCTAGAGGAAGTGTCAAAGATCTCACTTATTTTTCAGAAGGATTCTATCTCTATTTCGCAAGTGAAGGCTGAGATTGAGCGAGCTAGTCAAGCCTTAGAGAACATGCGAAGGCGACCTGGGAAACATCTTGCTGCCTTTCAAGAAGAAGTAGGAGCTGGAACAGTGTTCAAGGGGGTCAGTCTTACAAGGAACAACACAGATGACAGATTGTTTGAGCAAAGTAAAGCATCAATCATCACTGATGCTAAGCAATTTCTAGCCTCAAGATTTGAAGACTTCACTTCCCCAGTACTAAAAAGCTTGCGGTGTTATCACTAACAATAAGTCTTGGCCAAAGGAGAGAAATGATCTAGGTTTGTATGGAGAAGAAGAATTGGTTACTGTGGCTCAGCACTTTCAGGCAGTCCTCAGAAGCAATGCTTTCGACTTGGAAGTATCAAAGGATCAGTGGCTATCTCTAAAACTGTACTGTTATGACCACAAACGCATTGCAAACTTAAGTCAGGCTGAGTTCTGGGTAGAAGTGTTCAATCAGGTGCATCCAGATGAACTTGAACTCTCTCACATGTTGATGGTGGTTGAGATTTGTCTGGCAATGGCAGTGTCCTCATCTTGCTGTGAAAGGGGATTCTCTTGTATGGGGCGACTCAAATCAGAGTATCGAAACTCACTTGATGTTGAAACTGTTGACATGCTCATGAACATCTGCCTCAATGGTTCAAGTCCCGAGGACTTTACAGCTGAAAGGGCAATTTTGCACTGGAACCAGGCATCACAAAGAATGCGAAGGCCTTGCTTAAAGGATTGATGACCTAACTTAAGCCTAAGACAGCAATGAAGTTGATAAAACTGCTGCTATTCTATTTATGTTGCAACTATGGCCTGTAACTGGGAAGAATTATAATTGTAATACACTTATCATTGTTGCTATGTATCACTAAAAAGATACATGTTAATTGTTGTGTTTATTTGATCATAGTGTGGCATTTACATGTTTTACCTACACACACAAATTAAATACGTGCAAAAAAAAATGTAAAGGGTGACCAGTAACTTTGCTCCTGGGACCAGTAAATTCTTAGCCTACTGGTCCAGTGGAAGACCAGAGCTAAAAGTTAAGTTCGAGCACTGCCTAAAGCCTGGGGATCAAATTCCCCATCCCTGGAAGACTCTGATAATCAAATTCCCTCCTCCCCGGGACGGCAAAGGTGTCAAATGCCCGGGGTATGCCGGGGGGGGCATGTTGAAGCCTCGATTTGACCAATACATAACACTGAACAATAGAAATATATAAGAACCAATCAGCCTCAGGTGTCACAATCTGCTTGCCCAACTTATTAAGATTATATCTTATCTTCTTAGCCATAGAAGAACATGAAAGTGAAGTCCTCCAACTTGAATGTAGCATGGAAAGCTCTCTGCCAGGTGAACAGGAGCAAAGTCATTCAGCAGGTACTGATATACCGGTAGTTGTTTATGGTAGATGGTATTTTATTATGAAAGTTAATAATATACATGAAAAAAGTTCTCTGTGAATTTGATTGGCGTAGAGCAGTGTACTTTTTAGTAAACACAATGCAAAAACAAGGAAACATAATGCCAAAAGAAAGAAATATAATGCAAATTTATCAGAGAATGAAAAACTGTGATTGGGCCAATAAACAATAGAAATTTACCAGAACTAATTAAGTGCCACAGTTTGCTGGTGGGAAGCATGTATACTTTTAAAACTTCCCCCTTTTTGGTGTAATTAATTATGCTCTGTTGTCTTACCTAAGTAATCTTTCCTTTTTCTTGTAACACTTTTTTTCTCAATATTTTATTTTACGAATTTACCTGATTATTTTTATTTATTTATTCATTGTGGGTTGTTTTTGTTTTCATTTTTGTAACCAAGATTTTGAAATTAATAAAGGTGTGGGTGGGCGTGTGTGTGTAACAAATAAGAATGTTAAAACTTTCATATATATATTTTTTAGATGGACTCAAAAGAGCAGCTATATAGAGTGTTTTCACATGACGTCACGGCGGCCATATTGGTGTCCCAAAACAATGAAACGGCGGCCATGTTGGTGTCCCAAACCAATCCTCTGGGAATTGAGATCTTTTCTTATGCAAACGCTTTCTTTTGTTTCAGTAAATTTGCATAGATGCGAGCCACGTGAGTGAAAACACTCTTTAATCAGTGATTTTGTTACCACTGCATTCTATCTATGTTCCTTACACATAAAAATCGCCAAAGACATAAAATAATTCATGGATATATCGATCTGAACGTGTGTATTTGTAGAAATATCCCGTACGTGTAATTTCTGTGGCAGTTATGGTTGTTGTTTAGTGATGCATATTTGTTTTAGCCTTTGTTGACTTCTGCTTTAAAATAGAAGAACTATATTTTAATTTCAGTATACTCTAATACAGAGTTTTGGAGTGTGTCTTCAGATTAACTGTCTGTGGCTGGTACATAAAGGCCCAAACATTTTCCATTTTGGACTCATTTTTTTTAACTGGGACTCATTGGTTCTGGACTGGGACTCATGATTTCTCACAAGATGAGTCCCAGAATTCATCATATTTATTTGTAACAAAAACACTGTATAATTCATTGATTAGACCTTTTGTCATGTAATTCAAGTGTTGTTGTTGTGGTAAACATGACAAGTCATCATGTCTGTACTTAATTCTCCATGACTGGATTGTAGGATTTTTGTTCTGTTTGTATTTGATCGTGCATTATTATTATGGGAAAACTTACCTTAAGGTTGCATTACTTTGACTCTAGGACAAAGTTAAAATACATTGAATTCTCATAGAGATAATTATTTTTTTGGATTATAATAATGAGTTCATTGGTTGGGTCACTCCCATTATATTTGATGACTGATTTATGAAATATCAGCACTTAGAAAATGATTGTCAAGGTTGTTGTATTATCCGAAGTTTCAAAAGTAGAAATATTGTGTATTTTCTATTTGAAATCAGGTTTTGAGAACACTTCCACAGATACAGCTTTATAATAGTAATTCTTGTACAGTTATACAAGCATGCAGTACTAGGGTGTGAAGAAAAGGAGGTCAGTTTTGTGCTTGTCCTTCGGGAAGGCTGTAGCTTGCATCTGTTAGCCCAGGAATCACAACTCTATTATCCCTCAGGCATGATAAAAAATAGAATCCACTAGCCCCATAGCTTATATGAATTGTGTAGTTGGTTAATACAAATAATTCATTTACTAGGAGAAGAGTTGGAACAACACACTCCTGCAGTAGAAAATGGCCCAATTGAGGGAGCAAGCAATGTGCAGGAAACACAGCAACCTCTTCCAGAAGTAAATAATAGTAGCCACTTAGATGACCGCCTAATTGCTAGAGCAAGGGCAGTTGGTGTGGACTATGAGTTTCCAAAGCCTGGTGAAGTGGAAACGGAGGATGACAGAAGAAAAGATTTTATTTACTTGAATCCAGTCCATTCCTTTTTCTCTCCAACAACAATGATATATTAAGAAACATTGTTATTATAGCTGGAAATTTCTTTCCAACCATGTGCACACTCATTGGTTATTTCAATGTCACCTGACATCTAACAATGAAACTTTTTGGTGCCAATATTCTCTAAGCAGGCAACATCGCAAAAATCATTCACATCAGAGGGTAACAGTGCACTATTACCCGTGAATGACCAACAACTGACCTTCCAGGGAGGTTTAATGAATTTCCATGCAGCTATAAATTTTTTTTAAAATATTAACATCACAAATCACTTAAAGACTTGGCCCATGGGAAACAGTTAATTTTGTTTTCCAAGAATCTAAATATTTCCCAGCACCATTCTCATTAGTTACTTCGAGGTCACATGACATCTAACTGTTTCCCACCACAATCTCTGAGGAATTGCCAGGCTAATTGACCAGCTGCTGTGGAAATTGGAGAATGACTATATGAATGGTTAGGTACGTTAGGTACAGTGCCAAAGTTGCATTGATAACTGTGGTGATCTTCCCTGAATTTATTTCTTCATTCTGCATTGCCAGTATATGAAATTAATGTATTTATTATACCATATATAACTTTGTTGTGTGAATTCACCTTGGATAAGTTAATCTTTTCTTGTGCTGTTTTAAAGTTATAGAGTTTTAGTTTTAGTTTCAACTTTTAAGACCTTTTTCTTTCCTGCTCTTTAAACCTTATCTGACTACGTGTTACTTTTTTCGTAGTTTTCTTTGACTCCTCTTCTTCCTTTGTCGGGAGTGGGTTGCGGCTACACGTAGGCTAGATTACATCCCGATACCGACTGGCGGGTATCAGTATTTGCAACGAGGTTATATCGTATTGTGTACCAGTGTGAATAAAACGATCTTCATCATCATCATTATTATCGTTATTATTATTGTAATGAAATCGGGAGCTCCGCTTTTAGGCTTGGCTAAATCTATATATTATGCTAAATACGTCGATCGGAATCAGCGAGCATTTTTGGCACAAATGAGGTCATTTGTCGGGCGATATGACGTCATCTATCATCTCTCCCCTATCAATTCTCAATATTTGATGACGTGGGAAGTTGACAGCCCTGTAAATGTCTCCCTCGGCCTAACTTGTAACAGTCACAGTCTACCTCCTTTCCTTGACAAAAATACCATCGCAATTTCCTTTGCTATTTTGAACAGTCAAGACTTATTCTCAGTTTTGCTTTTGCGGCAAATTACTTTGTTATTTGAAAACCCTAAATCCCTTCAGAGTTTGCAAAACGTACAGCCCAATACAACGAATTTTGCTGTAAACAAAGAAACTCTAAGAACCTTCGTCCCAAGACATCAGGGAACATGTCGTATAATTCCTTCAAAGCCGGTCGGTCTTTGAAAGACGGCCTAGATATGGAATCTAGAACGCCACCTTGGAAAGCATTTTAGCCCGCGAACTCGCGCGAATCAGCCGTAGCAAATTTTGACAATTTGACATGTTTACGCGAGGTGGGCGTGGTAGTGGGCGGATTAAGGTATTTAAGAAGATGCCACAGGCTCTCCCCTTGTCCCTTCCCGCCGTTTTTCGCTCACTCACGTTTTCGCTGTTCCCGTGCTTCTTTCGCTTCTCGTTCGCTTTTTTCGCTCATCTACACTGACCGAGAGCCTGGTACAGGCTACTGTAAACCTCAATCAAAAATCCAGAATCCCATATTGCAATTTGACCTGGATTGACAGTAAAATAGAATCGTATAAAATAGCCTAATTAACATCCGGACTGTGCAGAGACCCAGAGAGGAATCTAACCTGCTTTATTTTTACCAAAAATCAGGGTGCTAAAAAACCGAAAAACGGGAAACCG